CTGAACCGGGGCCCTCTGGCATCCCAAGCCAGCTCTTAACCATCGCGCCACTCGCCGGCCCTAAACTGACCCTTTTGAGGACACTGCTCATACACCTTGTGTCTCCCTGCTTGACCTCAAAGGATGGCTGGTTAGTCAATGACAGATAAGATGCCTCGAGGAAGGAACAACCTAAGCCAGGCACAGTCGCATGGGGGCCATCAGGAGAAAGCTCGGGGCTGATGGAGGTGGGCATGGGCCCTCACCCGCCCCCAAAGAGACTGGAGGTTTTCTACCTCTGTAGCTACATTCCTTCCCTCAACCTGCTTGGGAAGTGACCTGATGGTGTGATAGTACCTGTCCTCAGCATAATAATCTTATCTTCCTGGGGTTGTATGAGTATAGGGTGTGTGAAGGCAGAGCATCTGTCTTATCACCACAGGCAGACTCAGGTAATAGCAGCTTGCAGGCATGGGTAATCTGGCTTGAGCAAGTTCTCAGGGATGAGACTCACAGACTGTGGAGAGAACAACACTACCGGGTATGTGGAGAAATAAAAGCGGCGTGTTGGCCCAATTTGGGGCTCTTGGTCCTCTGAGGCTGGAGACCCATGGCCCCACACTCATTTAACTCTTGGCTGCTGTTTCTTTTATTTCTTAACCCTTTGCCGCCCTCTCTCGTTCTCCCACTGCCCCTGTTGTGAGGGACGCGACAATTGGGTCTCTACTTTTCCAGAAGAATTTATCCATGTGCAAACTAAAACGGTTCTTTTCAACGGACATAATTAGGCTTTTGCAATATTGAAGTATATCTCCTTTTATCAACTATGGATCAAAAGAGGCAGGGGCTGGATGAATCGGGCACCCTGTGACTATCTCAAAGGGTGAGAATTTATGAGTTCCAAAGGGGATGGATCTGAGATTTAGAAGGACCAATGGCAATGCTTTTGACCAGAATAGCTGGAGGGTTTCCACAAATTTTGCCAATTGAATCTTGATGACGCCATTGGTTTGTTCAACTACTTCTGAAGACAGCTCCCCGGATCCTTGCAATCTCCCAGCATGGAAATCAAGAGAGCTTACCAGACACTAATGTGGCCAAAGAGGAAGTTTTATTAAGTTTGTGCACAAGGAAACCTGCATGGTGAAAGGGAAGAAATAGGTGGTTCCCCAAGGGAAGGTGGGGCAGGGTTTTTAAAGGGAGCTAGGCAGGAAGAAAACTACGTCTAGACATGTAGAAGCAGGTTTTTTTGGCGCCTGCACAATATGGCTAAATGCTTCTTAGTGCTCTGCATGTTTCATTAGCATGTTAAATTTCTACCCCTGGGTGTGATTTGTAGCATTAAAATGAAGAAAAGGTCACATAGAGGTCATCTCTGAACTTGACTGCACAGGCAAAGCCAACAGGAAAATTCCTCGGCCCTTGTAAGCAGATCCTTGTGGCTAGTGACCCTGGAGCCTTTAATGCTGATTGGTCACCCTAGGACAGGTGTCCTTAGGGAACTTATATAAGTATTAGCAGCTGGCTCTTGGTCAGTTCAACCCGACTGACTTACCAGCAGGAAGTTGCCTTCCTGTGTCAGGAGGATGATAAGCTCAGTGAAATGCTATAGAACTGGCCAAATAACAGTCTTGCCATAACATTTGACCAGTAAAATGGGTTCAAGAGGGGTTCCCCAGGTAGGGATGACTTTTTCCAATAAGATTAGGCACTGAAGAGAGTAGCTTGTCTACATGGAAAGGTTTTGGCCCAATGGGAAAAGGCAAGTCATTACCAAAACATATGTGTACCCATGGGAAATGGGATAGCTGAATGAAGTTCATTTGCCAAACTTCAAATGGTCCACTGGGCAATTTAAAATGTTCGGAGGTGGTGTGGACAGTTTTCCTGGATTGTATTTTGGGCAGGTGGGGCAAGAAAAGTAGATGCTTTATGTGGCCTTATTAATATTTCCGCACCAGTATTGGTTCATAAAAGCTATCGTTTTATCAGTAGACCAATGATTCAATGCATGTACAATAGTCAGTAATGGGAATTTTAGAATTTCTGGCAGAAGTGGGTTGTTATTTGGCCGAAGCCAGAGTTCTCTCTTTTTATCAAACCAACAGTTATTAGATTTCCGATATTTTTTTTCTTTTTCTGGGGCCAATTTTTGAGCATCTCTAGTCAATTTCTCTAAATTATCATTTAGGGGAACATCCGTTTGGACCATGACAGAGGTTTGGCTACTGTTCTATTGAGAGCAGTGTTCTTGGCTGAAATATATCAGTGAGATGGTTTCCTTTAGTCTCCAGGGATGCAAGTTTGGGATGCCCAAGTATTTTAATAGCCAAGGCGGCTGGTAGGAGTATGGCATCTAACAGATTTTGGACACAAGAGCTATTTTTAATTGTATCCCATTAGAAGTAAGGAAACCTCACTTGTTTCCATAGCATTCCAAGGTCATGGGCTACCCCAAAGGCATAGTGACCCCTGGTATAAATATTTACAGTTTTGCCCTTAGCTAGAGTACAAGCTAGAGTAAGAATATATAATTCAGCTAGTTGGGCAGAGGTAGCCAGAGGCAAAGGTGCTGCCTTAATTACTTCAAAAGAAGTTACAATAGCTACCCAGCCCAATATTTACTATTTCATCCTTTGGAGCATGGTGCTGATAGCACCAAGGTTGCCAGATCGATCCCTGCAGTGGGCCACTGTGAGCTGTGCCCTCCTTAAAAGAGTAAGCTATGCCATTGTAGCATGTAAACAATGTGTAACCATTGACCGTGGCTGTTCCCCAATAAGAAAAAAAAAGAACCATCAGTAAACCATGAAAAATCTACATTGGTTAAAGGACCTTTCCTATAAATTATCACAGGGACTAATTCTAAAAAATGTGTATTTCGCAATAAAAAATAATTTTAAAAAAATTATCACAGGAAGTCAAAAGGCGATCTACCTGTAAGCATCAAGCATTGGTGAGGGGTTTTTGTCAGTAGAGGAATACTAGCAGGTCAAGATTAATACAGTGAGAGTTATGCCAGGAGCAGCCAGCAAGAGGATTTCACAGGTGAGAGGATTGGCAGGAAAGTATTGAGTGTGATGAGAGTTCAGGAGGGCTTCTGCTTGGGTACAAGATGGTTAGGGGGTATCCCATGACAATTTTTTTGGTAGCCTTAACTAAAAGGACAGTGGCAGGAATGGCTCTGAGACAAGGGGGGGTATCTTTGTGCCACAGGGTCTAGCTGCTGGCTATAGAACCCCGTGGGGCACTGCGATCTCCATACTTGTGGGTGAGCGCCAGGGAGAGGCCCTGAGCGGAAAGCGCAAGGGCCAGCCCGGCGCTCTGCCCGCCCCTTCCGGCGTCGCCACTTCCGGCGTCGCCGCCGGTAAGTGTGAGGGTCTTGGACCTGGGAAGGCACAACCCTGAATTGCATATCCCACAGACATGGAGCAGGACGACCCGGGCGAGGCGCTGACGGAGCTACGTGAGCGGCGACTGGGCGCGCTGGAGCTGCTGCAGGTGGCAGCAGGCTCGGGTCTGGCCGCCTACGCCGTGTGGGCGTTGATACTGCAGCCAGGCTTTCGCCGGGTGCCGCTGCGGCTGCAGGTGAGTTCCTGCTTGGCGGTTCCCATGGGGGCGGGGCCTGGGCTGGTAGTAGGGACTCCTGGCGGGGCTCTAGCCTGTGGGCGGGGACAGAGCTAGGGACGCCGGGATTGAGGAGCTAAACCGGGGTGTGAGAGGAGGGCTTGGGTGCTGCACTCCAGGGCCAGCCGGAAGGTGGGCTGGTGCCTGCTTCAGGTGGGGCAGGACAGCCCGTTGCTAAGGAAGCCCAGGAGGGAGATTCCGCCTCTTGCCCAGTGTGATTCAAGTTTGGGGACCAGACCTGCGAGGAGTGGGCGTGGCTAATGGACTAGCCCTCCCAGCCCCATCCACCTCCTTGCCCAGGTACCCTATGTTGGGGCGAGCGTGCGGCAGGTGGAGCACGTGTTGTCGCTGCTTAGAGGCCGTTCTGGAAAGCTGGTGGACCTGGGCTCTGGCGACGGCAGGATTGTAAGGAATGGGGGTGGGGGGGGCCGCCCTCACTGCTCTTTCCTGCCAGCGCACCTCCCCACCTTCTGGTCTTGAGTCTCTTGGTATCCACAGGTGCTGGCTGCCCACAGGTGCGGTCTACGCCCAGCCGTGGGCTACGAGCTGAACCCATGGCTGGTGGGGCTGGCTCGGCTGCATGCCTGGAGGGCAGGTTGTGCCGGCTGTGTCAGCTACCACCGCGAGGACCTCTGGAAGGTAACTTGGGGAGTCCTGGACCCCCTCAAACCCCACACCTGATCTCCATGCTTCCAGTTCTGGCTTGACCACCCTGCTGACAGCCCCAGGTGCTCCTGCCACCTGGGCGGACTGGGGCTGGCACTCAGAAGCCGTGGTAACCCCATGCCCACCAGACCTCTTCCCTGGAGGGCTGGGGTCCCATTCCCTACTGGGATGACCTCTTCTTCCCACAGGTGAGCCTGAGGGACTGCCACAATGTATCTGTGTTCCTGGCCCCCAGTGTGGTAGGTCTGGGGTTTCCTAGTCCAGGCTACCTCAGCATATGGGCTGGGCCTGGAGGAGCTGGGAGGGGGCAGCCATGTTCCATCCTACCCATCCCACCCTCCTACTCTTTCCCATAGCTCCCACTGCTGGAGAGCAAACTGCAGGCGGAGCTGCCTGAAGGGGCCCGTGTGGTGTCGGGGCGCTTCCCCCTCCCCACCTGGCAGCCTGTAGCTGTGGTGGGTGAGGGCCTGGACCGCGTCTGGGCCTATGACATGCATAACGGCGGGCCAGCTGGGCAGGCTGCCTCAGCACCCAGTTCTACCTCGGTCCCTAGGGCCCCTGATCCTCAGGCTGGCTGATCATGTGAACACAATAAAGACTCAGTGAGCTTCATCCTGACTCTTGTTGGGTAAAGGGCTGGGTGGAACGACTCCACAATGTGAGGCTGTGGGGAGGGCTTCATGCTGGCCAGGAAGAGTTGTGCTCCGAGCTTATCTGATGACCAGTTAGCGGCTGCGGGTCCTTGGGCGCTGAGACTTGGCTGTAGGTGCAGCCCCCACTTTCTGGGGGTCCCTGGTACCCACCAGCTTCCTCAGCCTCAGGATCTCCTGCTTGTACCTGCTCAGAGAGACCAGGCTTAGTCACCTGCCTGACTGTGGACAAGCCCGGCCGCTGGTGTTTGGGACCCACACCAGCCCCACCTTCCCAAGAGCCTACCTGCCTAGGTGCTGGTCTACGTACTCCTGGAGTTCGGCAAGCTGCTCCTCAGCCGTGGCGGCCCGGACTAGCAGTTGTGCCCGCTCCTTTTCCAACTCTGCCTGGTATGGGGGCGACGGGGGGGGGGGGACATAGGCCATAAGCCAGGACAGCGTGTGAGGAGGGCCGCCCATTCAGGACTTGCCCACTCACTACCTGGGTGCCACGGGAGAAATCCTGGAGCTTCTGGTGGATCTGGGCCCAGGATGCAGCTCCCAGGTCCCTGTGAGAGGAGAATGGGGGTGGACATGAGGGTTCACGTTGGCCCAGGCGCCGACCAGTGACCCTGCTCAAGTTGGTGCCCCCTGGGGGTGAGTTTAGGACAGCATGGGCCTGTCCTGCCACTGTGGGCCCTGCCTGTGTCTTGGAGCCATCTGTGCATGGGGTGGGGAGCGTGGGCAGGGCAGCCCAGGCCCAGAGGGGCTGTTCAGGGAGAGTTAAGCCACAGGTCAGCTTAGACAGTGACCCCAGTGTCTTTAGGGATGCTGATGGGAGTCCCCTCGTGCTGGGCACTTGTTTCCCAAAACCCTGGGAGGTGGGCCTGTATAAGCATCTGCCCATTACACAGTTGGAAACATGGAGGCCCAGAGGCAAGGGCTGTAAAGGACACCAGGTAGCCTGCTCCTGCCCTGTCCTCCAGGCTCAACTGAAACATCCCTTCTTTTGGGCTCTCCCTGACCCTCCCATTCGAGGTCAGCCCCTCTCCCATCAGAGCCCCTCTTCACCCCAGGCACTTGGCTTTTCTGTAATTATTAGCGTCTCCCATATAGACGGAGACTTGCGGGCACAGACGGTCCTCCTTGTTTACTGTTGCAACCCAGCAGTTAAAAGGGTTGGTGGAATAAATGAATGACCCCCCTGCAAGTCCCCTCAACAACCACACCCGGTCACTCACTGTGGCTCTGATGTGCCCCCCTGGGAAGCTTCACCAGGTCCTTTCTGTAAGAACAAGAGTAGCATCCTGAGTCCTCTGTGATGGGGCTGAGTCCTCTGTGATGGGGATTCTTGGTCGAAGGATCAAGGTAGGTTGCTCAGAGGCCCTGGGGTAGGGGCTTTACTGAGCCTGGGATGGGTCCTAAAGAGAGTACTGAGCTCTGGGCCCCAAGGCCAGTGTGGGGTGGCAGGGAGGGACTCACCTGGGCCTGGAGCTTCTGAAGCTGTGTCTCCAGCTTTGTCTGGTCCTCCTGCGGGTGGCTGAACTCGGTAACCAGGTGCAGGAGCAGTGGCTCCAGGTCCATTGTGGCTGTATCAGAGGTAGCCTTGGGGATCTCAGGTGCCCTGTTGGGGTCCGCCAGTACCTGCTGCACACTAAGCCACATGCCAAGTCATATAGAGCCACCCCACCCCAGATGCTTGTCTCAGGGGCGGAGCCTACCCGTGGGCAGCCAGCAGCTCTTCATGCCTTCGGCTCAGATCAGCCAGGCGCTTGCGGTAGGCTCGAGCGGCCCGGGCCAGCTGTTGCTCACGGCTGTGGTGCGCGGCCCGGATGTCTTCCAGAATACTCTCCAGGAAGGTCCTAAGAGCAGCTGCTGTTGGTGCCTGCCCTGTACCATCTGCAAACTCCTGGAGGAGAAGGGGTGGGGCCAGGGCTTGGTTAGGCCCACGCCCCCTCCCCCCAATCCCCTTCATGAGGCAGGTCCAACAGTGTAGTAGGAGGGGCCCACAGGGTCTCTGAAGCAGCCCAGCAAACCCAGGCCAGGCTTGGGCTCTCCGGAACCTAGAGGCCTCCCTCCCACCCCAGGGTCACCCTGCCCAGTGTTTACCGCCAGTGCTCGGGCGCTGCGCTGCAGCCTGATGGCATACTCCTCATTCAGTTTCTTGAGTTGTAGCTGCAGGCGGCTGTTCTCGGCCTCAGCCTGGTGGAGCTGGCCCTGGCAGGTGGACAACACCTGCGGGTGGAGGCGGCCCTGAACCTATGTGCTCTGCGAGGTGGACCTCTGCTGAGCTTCTAGGACCCCCACCCCCCAGATCTCAAAGTGGGTACGGCTGGGCCTCACCACAGCTTGTGCAGCCAGTCGCTGCCCAGCTGTCCTGGCCTTCTCTTGGGCTCCTTGCAGCTGCTGGCCCAGGGCTGCCCTGTGGACATGCGTGTGAGGCTCAGCTGGACCCAGGGTGGGGGACTCCCTCTGCCCCTAGGGGACAGCTGTTTCTTGCACTGTGACAGGTGAGGCAGCCACTCACACTTGCATCTCCAGTGCTTGCTGCTGGGCTCTGTGCTGCTCCAGTGCCTGCTTCTCTTCTCCCTGCAGTTTTGGGGTACACAGGGCTGCCCAGATGAGATCCCCAAGCTCTGGGTCCCCCGTCCTACCCCAACCCGGGGCTGGGAGAAACCTGGACAGTCCCCTGGACAAGGTGGCTACACACGCCATTCCTCAGCTTCTGCTGCTTGTCCTCAGGGATCTGGAAGTCCTTGGACTGCACCTGTATGGGAGAGTGGGTCCCAGCATCACTGTGCCCCTGCTGCACCCCTATTTGGCTCTCACCCAGCTCACCCAGCCATGCACTTATGGTGACCTGGACTCTGTGGTGGTCGGAGTGTCCCTGCCTCCCAGCCTTGCGCCTGAGCTCCTGTGCAGGCACCTGACGGTGTCCTGGATCAGTCTCTGCCATGGCTGCATGCTCTCCCTGCAGCTCCAGCTCCAACACCCGGCTCTCCAGCTGCAGGACCTGTGGAGCGACCAGGGTGAGCAGGTGTACCTGCCTGTCAAGCCCCCTGGGGCAAGACAACATCCACTTTTGGCACACAAGGACACACAGCATGTGCGGGACATTCGAGGGCTCAAGACACTGCATGTGTACAATTACGTGGGGTGCACTCACCCCCACCCACAACACTCAGGCTGGCACATGTGGGCGCACATCAGTGCCCACCTCACTCTTCAGCTCAAAGATTTCAGCCTCGTGCTGCTTCTGCAGGTGATGGGTTCTGATCTGCAGGTCGACCAGCTCCTTGGAGATCTGTGGGTGGCCAGGGTGGTGCCTGTGGAACCCTACTGTGGGCACCCTCCTTTCTGCCAGCTCCCCAGGGCCCTCACACTCACCTGCAGCCGCTGCTCCTCACTCAGCTCTACCTATGAGGGAAGCTTTGTCTTAATGCTGGTGGCCCAGGCTGGGGTACTCCCAGGGACTCCTGGCAGCACCTGGGGAGGCACCACCACCATCCCCTAGGTGGGTCTCAGGCCTGAACTGTGGCCTCCACGCCTATGGAGCCATCAGCCATCTACCCCCACACATCCAGCCTGGCTGAGTTGGGGGAGCTGGGCCCATGGCCAGGATCAGGCCCAGGACATGGGAACCTGTACCCCTCCTGGCCCTTGAGGGGACAGGGAGGACCCCCAACCCCATGGCAGAAGCAGCAGCGTCTTGGGAGGACTCACATTCTCAATGGTCCAAGGTGGGTCCCCTGGCCTGGGGCCTGGGATTGTCACGCGCTCCATAGGCAAAAGGAACTCTGGCTGCCCCAAGCCCAGTGCAGCCTCACTGGCCTGTTGCTGCGACACCGTGGCTTGTGGCTTGCGTTGCCAAGGCCTCCCAGGAGTCTCTTGGGCGTCCCGCCCACAGTAACAGACAGGGCAGTTCAGTGGTTGGGGAGTTGGGGGATACTCTCAGTTCCTTCCATATATGGTGACTCATTTTTTTCTGGTTTCAGTTTCCTCACCTGGGAAGTGCAGACCAACACCCCTGCATTTATCGAGACGCAAGTGGAAGCAGGGATGCTTGAAAGCGCCCAACCCAGGCAGGTGTGGGACAGCGCGCGCGGAAGGGAGCTGCCGCTGCTGTTACTGTTCTCACGCAGGGTGCCCTGTCCTACCGTATAGGTTCTCACACTCATTAGTTGCGTTCTATGTGCCTCCGGTGCTTGCTGAGGGCCTGGACGGTTAGTCGATCAAACTGGACAGATCTCGCACCCCCAGCCTGAGGGAAGGGGACGCAGACGTCCCAATCAGGGGTCGGGGAAATCGGAAGAACACAGGAAGGCTTCGCGGAGGAGGTGCGGTAGCGCCGGGCGCGATGGGAATGGACCTGCGTGCGGCCCTCACCGGGCACGCGTGGGCTCCCTCCAGCGCACGCGCGCTCCCAACGCTGGGCTTGGGTCCCCGCCGCGCGCAGGTTCCGGCCGGGCTGGTTGGGGGCGGTTGCCGCTGGCTGAGCCGAGCGCTGCGCTCCGTCCAGGTCTGTCCGGTGTCCTTCAGTTCGTTCGTGTAGCCGGCTGCTGCAACCCTTGCAGGTAAGTAGGCAGCCCGGGACGGGGGCTTTCGGGGGCCGGAATTGTGCTGCGACAGGTGGTGCCTAGGGACTGGGGGATTGAGAGGGGAGGGCCTGGATAGTGGTGGGGCCTACAGAAGGAGGCGTGACCTACCAGGACCACAATTGGAGCTGATGGCGGAGCTTGGTAGGGGGCGTGGCCTAGAGAAAAACCGCAAAGAGCAGCGTAGGAGGGGCCTTCCGCAGGCGGAGGAGAGGGGATGGCGTCTCGGGTCAGCTTGAACCTGGAGTAGGGATTCCACTTGGCAGTTCCTGGAGCAGAAAGCGGGGCTTCTTTTCTGGCCCCCAGTGTGTATGTGGAGCTGATCTCTCCCGTTCACAGTCTTGCCTCAGGTCTGGAGAGGGAAAGGACTCGGAAGGCTGGGGGCCTACTTTGGAGGAGGCTCCGGGTGGTTGAACTCTGCGACCTTGGAGGTCAAGGTCATCCCTGTGCTTGAAAACAACTATGTGTATCTGGTCATGGTGGAGCACACGCAGGAGGCTGTGCCCGTGGACACAGCCATGCCCACGGTGAGGGTGAGGGCAAGCTGTGGGCCCAGGTAATCTTGGTGGGCGACCAGCCAGTTCCCCTTCCGAGAGGCTCTCCGACCACCCTCGTTGGAGCAGACCCTTCTGTTTTCTAATCTCTGGTGGTTTGGCATTTAGGGTTCCTTGATTGTATCTCGGGTCTCCCCTGGGGTTAGGATTGCCTCTGCCTCCTCTTTTCCTTTCCTCTGGTGCCTAACTGTTCCATACGTACTGGGCACGTTCACTAATTTCTGAATCTCCCCTACCTCCCTCCTGCTCCTGGCCTGCCCGACGCACTGTGCACGCCAGACCTGGCACTCTGAAATGGGGGCCCACTGGACGACCGCCTCTCTGTAACTCCCGTCCCTTTCAGTTGCTGGAGATCGTAGGCTATGGTACTGACCAACCACCACCACTGGTGGGCGCAGTTGGGGCAGGCTAAGGCTAGGGGGCGTTGCCCCTACCCCACCCGGACTGGGTGTGATCCTGCTCCCACCCATCTGCAGGGACAACGCGGAACTGGCACGTCTGCGGTCGGGTCTGGCGGTGCTGGGCGCAGACGAGCGCACAGGCGCTCTAACTCACTCGCTGGCGCACGGCGAGAAGCTTTGGGTGAGCGCGGGCCAGGGAGGGCCGGAAGGGCGCCCTGTCCGCCACCTCACACGCCCACCTGCCCCTTGGCCACAGTTTGGGGCCATCCATGTGCACTGCCTCCTGACGCACGGCCACACGGTCAGCCACATGAGCTACTTCCACTGGGAAGACAAATATTTCTGATCCACCTGCCTTGTTTTCTGCTACCGAGCCCACCCTGCCCTATCTCCCTCTGACCCCACCTTCTCTGACCCGCCCTCCTTCCCAGGGATGCGCTATCCTGACAGCTTTGGTTGGCACCTAGAGAGCACAGTTTAGCAGATAGATTGTACCAGAGCCTGGTGGAGACCCTGGGCACCCCTAGACAGTGAGCTGCCTAACCCTTCCCCTCTCTGGGTCCAGCCTCCTGGCACAACCCACAGGCTGTATACCTACCTGCCTTATGCCAGGAGTGCAGAATGAACCCTCACCAGGCAGGACAGGGCAGACTGGGTGTGGTGAGGGGGTACACAGGAGGGTGCTGGGGTCCGGAGGGTCCAGGCCAGCTGCGGGGAGTACCTCCCGCTATGGCAGTGCTGTGTACCCCAAGTGCCTCCTTTCTCCAGGTGTTCTGTGGCCATGAGCATACACTGGGCAACCTTGAGTTTGCGCAAAGTAGAGCTCTGCAATGACTTAAGTGAGGGCCAAGCTGCCATGTGCCAAGGTGCGGCCATTTTTCTCACTGGTGAAGGCTGGAGGGTGGGGGAACTGGGACCCAGCGGCGGCACAGCAGGGGCAGTCAGCCATGACTGGCCCAGGGTGACCAGACCTGACTTATCCTGGGGTGTGCTGACTGGCTGAAGCTCCCACTGGTAAGGGGTTAGTGGCCTTGAATAGGGAATGGGGTAGCCTGTAGCACTAATTCATGGATGGCTGCCCTCAGGGTCTAGACTGGGCAGGGCAGCCCCTACTCTGCTCTGGCCTTCAGATAAAGTGTGACAAGGGCCTGTGGTTATTCCAGTAGAGGGATGAGGAAGACATGCCCACAGTGCTATCCATTCTGGCTGAGGAGCTCCTCTATAACCCCTTCCCGAGGGTGATGTTCTAGCCGGTGTACTGGGCCTTCCTATGGGGCAGGCTGGGAACATATGGCAAAGTCTGAGCCAGTGCGTCTTGGGAGACCCTGTGTTCTCCCCATGGATTGCACTCTGAACAGGTTGGCTTGGGGCCTCCCCGGAAGTCATCTGGACATGGAGAGAGAGGTGTCGGGGGACCCAGTTATTAGGCTGACTGGCATGGTGGAGAAGCTGCTAGGTAAGTGTCCTCTGCCAACACCTGCCCAGCAGCTCCCCTCGAGCCCCCATGGTGTCCCTTCTCCCAGAGAGGAGTCTGTATGCAAGTTTACGAGGAAGGTGGCCCCAGTTAAGGCCCTGAAGGTGCTTTGAGTGGATGGCCGAGCCACTGCAGCCATAGGCCTGGGCGCTCCTGGCCCTGCAGCGGGGGGCTCCTAAGCACACCCTAACTGAAGTGAGCCTCTTGTGGACCTGCCAAGGGGCCAGGCAGCATGTTCCCTCTTCTTCAACCCTTGGGGTGACTGGGCCCATAGGAGGATCGCCTCTGGAGCCTTCCACAGCCCCGCCCAATGGGCTGCCCAGCCTGAGAGGGTGGGCACTCTGGTACTTCCTGGTGGTGGACATGAGGGCCCCTCTCTGGGACACACTTGAGCTCTGACACCTGAGATTCTGGGAAAAACCTAATGGGGTACACAGGACTTTTTAATTTTGAATAAAGCTTTGAAAGGCCTTTTTTCAATGCTGGCAGAAGCTCTTGGAGAGAAGCAGTTTCCAGAGGAATGTCTCTTTATTAGCGGTCGAGCTTGGTGGGGAGGGGCCTGACAGGCCATGCCCAGTCTGTCCTCTCTCCCTCCCCCACCAGGTAAGTGGGCATCCAGCGGTAGAGATAGGACTCAGCTGGAGAGGTAACTGAGGCCTGGCACCGACAGCCTTCTTCCCATCTGGAACATGGCCCAGAGAACACAGGTTCTCGGGCCCCAGAGGCCACAGCTTAATCAAAATGAAAATCCACTTCCAGGTGGAGTGGCACCACTTCCCCAGTATGGGGTGCTGTGGGCTGGGTGCCCCTTTCCTTTGTTGCCAAGTGCAATCGGGTTCCCCATATTGGGCTGTAAGCTTGACCAGCCCAGCAGGTCTGGCCCACCCACACCCTAGCTTCAGGGGTAACTCTAGAAATGGGGGAGAGGCACCTTACTTTTGCTCTGCCTTAAGCTCCTCATGAGACTGGCTAAAATCCTCACACACTTGGGCCACCACAACCAGGAGGAGCCAGGGCACTGCCCACGGACGTGGGCCTGCGGAACCTCTGGCCTCCTGTGCGGCGAGTCCAAGTGAAGTGCAGGCTGGAGGTCACCTTGACTGGCTACGGGTCCTGAGTCCCATCCCTGTGCGGGTTCCAGTGCATCTTTGCAGTTCACCCTGCATTTCGGGGTGACTTCCCTGCTGGAGACCCGGCACAGCCTTCCCAGGGGTGCTGGCCCTGGCTGTGGTGGGCCCTCCTACCACCTGATGCTGAGGCTGGAGCTGGCTTTCTCTACTGCGTGGTAGCTCGTGTGCAGTAGATGGTCAGCCTGCTCCGAGTCCTCACCCTGCAACCAGTGCTTGTACAGCTCCTGGACCCCAGGCACATTCTCCGGAGCCTCTGTCTGGACCATGCTGTACAGCCTCTCAACGTGCTGGAGAAGCTCCTTGCCGGGCGTATCAGGGGACTTGAGCTGGCCTCCGCCGTTCAAGCAACCTGTGGCAGAATGGGCAAGGGCATGATCATGGAGGGGTGCTCGCATGCCAGGAGTAAGGGCCCCACTTCCGTCCCTCCTGCCTTGTGGGACGCTGCCTGCAGCACTGGTCCCAGAAGGGGCCCCCATGCAGTCTGCAGTTGGCCCGCTGTGCTACCTGCGGGGCAGGCCATGACCTCCACGTAATGGTATGGGCAGCGCCCTCGCTTAAGCTTCTGCACCAGGTTCTGGATGTTGCGGAAACCGTAAGCCGCAGCAAAGTGCAGCAGGACTCGGCCCTCGCTCTCCAGCGTCACCTCCTGGAAATCCTTGTTCCTGGAGGTGGGAAGAGACCGTGCTCGTCCCCATCCCCACAGATGAGGTTGCCAACTTCACCTGCTCCCAATGGGGGACAGTGACAGACAGGGCAGAAAGCTTACTCCACGAGTCGCCAGGTGACCTCACCCCCAGCCTTGGTTTGCTGATTTGAAGGATGGTAACACACTTCCCAGGACGGCCGTGTGGTGTGATGAGGTCAGACACAAAGCCCCTCCCTTCGTGGGATGGGATGTCCCGTGGGGACACATCCTGTGCCGGACACACCGCCCTGCCACCACCAGCCTCTTGGGGCTCTGGACTACTGTGGTGTGGGCAGGGGACACTGACCCCTTACAATGGGGACACCAAGGCCCAAAGAGCTGTGGTCCATTTACGTGAGCTGGAGAAGAGGGCCAGCTCCTGCCAAATGCCCCAGGTCTGCACCAAACCCAGCTTGCCATCTTCTACCGAGCCCACCTCAGCAAGGGGACCCAGGGCCAAGGCTGCCCCAGCTGCAGCCCTTCCCACTGACCTCATAGGTCTGTAGGTGACCTCCTCCACGTGGATTCCAAAGAGCTCCTGGGCTGCATGCCGGAACACGTGCTCCAGGTAGCCCCCTGAGCCCCCACCTCGATGGCTGGTGGGTTCCTGGGAAGACACGCTGCTGCACCTGGGGAGGAGGTCAAAGCCTCAGGGGGCTGCTGTCTGCTGAGGCTTCTGGATGACTTCCGTCTCTCATAGTTGAGGGGGTTTGCTTTCTAAGTGGGAACAAGTCATGGACTTCTGGGGGCTTTGCTGGTGTCAGGAGGTGGCTCAGGAGGGAGAGGACTGTCCCTCCGTCAAGACACCTGTTCTGCGGAGCTCAGACCTGTGTCAAGTTTAGGGTCAGCTTTGATGACAAGTTAACAATCCATAGGCCATCTTATGAACTCGACTACCTCTGTGGACACCGAGACAGATAACAGGGCAGGCACAGAACCAACCAGAAGAAAGCCATGGTGGGAAGAGGAAGGGAGGGGAACACTGCCCACTGCCAATGTGCTTCTGCTGCCTGCCAAGACACGTGCAACCCCTAATGTCGACAGCGCTCCAACTCTAGATGTACATTCATTCCATCTACTATGGCAGGTAGTGACTTACAGACTGTCCAGGGGGGCTGGCTCCAGTTCTGATAGCGAGACCCCTTCTTCTTCCAGCAACTTGAAGACTTCTCCTACGATGGAACCACAGCAGAGAGGTTTTCAGCTAGGATCTCAGTAGAAACACAGGACGTCTGAGAACGCGTCATCTGTATCCCTAGCAACCTGTAATTTGGCGCTTGAGGCCTGGGTGTCCAACCCCCCGGCTTGTGGGTGGAGGAACCCGGCCACAGAGGTGGGGAAGGCAACTCCACTTCTGCAGACCCTCAGGAGAGCTGCCTGCTGCCCCAGGACCGCACCACCCTCACAGTGAGGCGGCGGGGCTCGGACACGCCTGTCCCCAAGTGCCCCCCAGCAGTGTGCCTGTCCCATCTGGGCACATGTTCATACAGGGAGACCATCCCCTGACTGTCCCGGGTCCCGGCATTAATTTTTCTGTCTTTTAAGCATTTGGAGGCTCTGTGAGGCTGCCCAACTCAGAAATGGGGTGACCAGTGTGAGCCAGAGGGGCTGACAAGGCTCTCCATCCTACTCCTTGTGCAGACTGTTTTAGAGCAAACACTGGTGGTGCTGGGGGACTCGTCTGCCACAGGTCCCTGAGACGATGGGACAGCTGCACACGCCGACCTGGCTCTAAGGGAGGGCCCCTGCCTCCTGTCAGGCCCTGGGGCTCCCTGCACAGGGGATGGCAGCTCCAGCAGAGCCTGTGCCCTGGGCTTGAGGACCACACCAGGGCGTGTGGGGGCTCAGGGTGGCAGGACCCAAACCTGTCGTGACGACACAATCCACGTCGCGCGTCTGGTGCTCCTGTCTGAAAAAGTCAGGTCTGGACGCTTCCAGCTTTTTGTCGTAGCAGGGCATCACTGTCACATGGTAGATCTTGTCAGGGGTCACATGCTGCATGGAGAGACATAGAAATAGGGAGTCACTGCCGGACCCCAGCAGTAAAGGGGTTCTGTTAGGGTGAGATGGGGTGATATGGCCAGGGTATGACCACGTGCTGCAGGCTTTGGGTCCTCTTTCAAGACAGGGACACTGAGTTGTTCACGGCTGGACTGTCCCTGTTACCTGCTGCCGGGCGAAGAAGTCCTTGACCAGGGAACCCATGACCTGCTGTGGGGAGCGGGCTGTGCTGATGTAGGGGATGATGGTGCTCCCATGGGTCTTCTCAGCATAGCAGATCCATCCTGAGGCCGACAAGGGGAACAAAAGAGGAGGATCAGAAACTACCTCTCACCAGCTCAGCAGTGACGTGACATTCTGGGGGTGGACCCACTTGTATAAGGAGTGGCATCCCATTAAAGAACGTCCCTGCTCTGTTGTCACTATCATACGTGATTACTGTCTTGGGGAACGGAAGTGACAAAGGTGAATCTCAGGGCAACTCCTTCTGCCAGGGGGGCCATTCTGGGAGGCATCTCTAGCCTCTTCTAGCTGCACACTCAAGCCCCCCGCCCCCCAACATTCCCACTACCTACGTCGAGCTGAGCACACCTGGGCAGGCAGAAGTCAGCACGGGCAAGGCCTGCTTGGAGTCGGCTTGTCCCCGGAAGCGCCGCATGAACTCTCGCTGGCTCTCCAGGAGACTGAAGTTCCTTGAGAAGGCGGTATCGAACACATAGTGCACCCCTGCAAGGTGTGCACATATCTGAGCCCCCTCGAGAAAGGCCGAAGCATAAGGCGATGCCCACCATACCCCCAAGAACACTGGCTCTGCCTTCCACAGTGGCCACGGGGAGCAAGAGGTTCTGGTATCACAGGATGCGCTGGTGCTGTGGATGGCCTGTGCTGCTGCCTGGGAAGCTTGTGTGTGACAACCGGGTTCTTTCGTCTGCATCCAGCAGCTGCCCATGGTGCCCAGCACATCAGTCTGCACCGGGCTCACCCCACATCCTCCCAGCCCCGCTCCCTGCACACAGCATGTGGCCATTTGCTCTGAACCAGACCCAGCACAGACCTGGGAAATGTGTCTTAATAATAGTCATTCAAAAAACAATACAAAGAGTGAGGGTATTATAGTCGGGAGACTGCAAAGTCAGAATTCACACGGTTTTCTCTCAAAAGGCACTGCTCTCAATTCTCTCAGCAAAAAGTTCAAGCTGAAGTCAAACTCAGAATAGTTTGTGATGTGTTTAAATTTAGTGAGTTGGAGGCGTGAAGAGGCCCCCCCCACCCCCGCTTGCCCCTGTGTTCCGAGCTATCGTGCGCACCCAAGGTTCCCCACCTACCTAGTTTTTTAAAGAAGGCAGTTAACTTCCTGGCAGTGTCTGTGGGATTTAGCTGAAATTTCACAGCCAGCGATGCTCTGGACTGGGGCGAGACGGAAATGACAACCAGCCTCTGTTGATCAGGCGCCAGTGTCTGCGAAACAAGGGACACACCGCTCACTTGGCACATTTTATGTAGACCCCCAGTGGGCCAGAGCTGGCGGAAGCAGCCCTGGCTCTATCAGGTCGTGTCATTTTTATGTACATAGAACCCAAAATTTAGGGCCCGATACTTCATCGTTGAAATACAAGTAATTCTCTGAGATCCCACTGACAAGACTTAAAAATGTGGGGGTCACTGGAGACACAGGACAAAGGGCACCAGGAGAGATCAGGCTGCCCTTGACAGCATGAACGAAGGATGCTGGGGCTCATGTTGTGTAACAGCAGTCTCGAAGACCACCCACCACGTACCTTATTGGCATCTAGAACCTTCCGTAGCTCCTCGTGGCTCTGCTGAGTGATGAGCACAGTCTCTGCTGAGGTGACACAGCCACTGCATGCCAGGCAGTCATCCAGTGAGATCTTGGCCTTCTCTAGCTTCCGTGTCCCTCCGTCCTGGAAGCACGAGAACCCGGTAAGCAAAGGGCCCCTCTACACGAGGACACAGGACGAGGACAATGGAACCTATAGGAAACTTGCTCACAACACCAACAATCAACATGGTAGGTGGCTGGCTGTATGGGCCCCTAAGTGTTTAAGTTATTTATTACAGAAGTACTTGTACACATTCTACAGTTAAATAGCACCATCAAATTCTAACTTTGGTACAAATTCAGCTGGAGGCTTGTGACTCTCCAGAGAGGTCCTCGGGGGGGAGCGGGGGGGGGGGGGTTATAGGTCCCCAGGCTGCAATCGTGGGGCTGTGAGGACAGGAAAATGCCAAAGGCCAGGCTCTAAAAGGAGGAAGAAGAAGAAGACAAGGGTGAGAATGAAGGAAGAAGGACAGAGGGACAGGTGAGGGCAGAGGGAGGAGATGGTGGAGCCTATGCCCCGTGGGCTTTGCCCGCCCAGCTCCAGCACCTGGAGGAGTTGGGAGGCATGCAACGGGCAGCAACAAGTGAGACTCAGACAAACACACACAGAACTTAGTGTACAAGTCAAGCCTCCACGCTGACAGCAACTCCTCTTAGATGCAAATGACTCTAGCCGAGCCCCTTTACTCCCTCTGCAAATGCAGAAATGGTCTGAGCCAAGGCCAGGCGAGCTGCAGGGGCTGAGACTATTACTAGAGGGCTGAGGAGATGAGAACCCCCTTCCAGCTAAGCTCACAAGGCCTGCGCTTTGCACCAAAGGCACCATTTGAGCTCAATGTGTACTTCTGGAGTCGGATTGGCCTAAAGGCCTGGAATGCAATGCTGTACCAAGCAGGAGTCCCATGAGCCTGCCAACTTCCCTCCAAATCAAGCACTGCTGCTCTGGACAGTGGAGCACACTGGCATCCCCACCTCAATGGGACCCTTCATTCATGGGACCCCTCCTGAGGTGTCCTTTCCTTAAAAAGGACCCAGTCCCCATGCTGCACCAAGCTTAGGCGGGAGCCCTGATGTGCTGCTGGCTCCCCCTCCTGCACCCAGTGAGTAGCCAGCTTTCTCCTTTCTCCCTGTAAACTCCTTTTTTTAAATTGGGAACAGTGTGTTTTTCCAGAACCTATCAGCTCCAAGTCAAGTCACTGTCCTTCAATCTAGTTGTGGAGGGGGCAGCTCAGTTCCAAGTCCAGTTGCCGTTTTCAGTCTAATTGTGGGGGGCCCACCATCCCATGCGGGGGTCGAACAGGCAACCTTGTTGTTCAGAGCACGTGATCTATCCAACTGAGCCACCCAGCTGCCCCTCCTGTAAAATCTTGATCCACTGTCCATCCCCACCAAGAGTCACCCTGGGGCTCTTCCTGCTCAGAAGGGGTTCTAGTGCCTGTGGACCATGGGATGGCACAGATGATCTTGAGAGTCCCAATGGCAGACAGGCAGAGTGAATTTTAACACCATTAGATCAGGATCTTATCACTGCTTAATTATATAGGAAATAGCTGTTCACTATGAAGAACACGGGGTCTGAACTGGAAAATCTTACACAATTAGAACACACAGAGAGAGAAAGAGACAAAGAGACGGAGGGGGGGAGAGGAAGAGCCCCTTCTGCAGAACAAATCAAGCCTCATGACCAGCCTGTGTCTTCCCCAGCCCCCACTGCCATCCCAGCTCTCTTGGCCTCCCTGACAGAGAATTTGACCTGTGAAAAAGGACTGGTGAGACGTGGAAGGTCTCCTGATCACTGCACTCATGACTGGATGGAGCGGGGGAATGTGTTTCAGGTCATCCGAGCTAGAACCTACCTGACTGACTTGGAAGTAACTCCCGTCATCTTCAATGTGGATCTTGGCCACACCGCTTCCCAGCCTCTTATCCACCTTCATGGGCTTGATGCATTCCTAGACCAGGAAGAGACCCCACACTTGGCCTGAAGAGGGGCGGCCTGCTCATGCACCAGGCGCACGCTCTAACACCCTGTGGGCACTGAGGGTCACCCTGCAGGTCACAGCAAGATGAAGGCTGGTGATAACCGGGCCTACGTGCTAACCTGTAAGCAGATATGGCCAATGCTGACCTTTACCCTTCTCAGAGTAAACCTGAAGCGTGGCCACCCTGGGAGAGCCACTGATCAGTGTTACATTGGTTATTGAGAGGAAGCCACGGGGTGGGCAGGAGTGCTTTGCTTGGGGATCACCTGTGTGTCCATTGTCCCAGAAAAAAGTTCACTTCTCTCCCTATTGCCCCGAGTTCTTGCTGTCTGCCTCATCATCACTAGGAGAACCTTTGGCCATGGCTTTCCCAAACAGGATCATCTCGAGAGAGGCGGGGCTGGAGGCCTGTCCAAGCCATCCCTGCTTGTAGGTCCCTCCCCACTTCCCCAGGCTATGCCCCTCCCAGCCCTGGGCCTGCACAGCTGGTGGCAACTGATAGGTACACCGGATAAAGGCGACACCCTCTTTCAAGTGTAGCTATCCTGTCCCCTTTAGGGGCAAGCTCTGGCTTCTTCCCAGAGTATATCCTCCAATGACGACCACACACCCTGACATTCACAGGGCAGTCACGTGCGAGATTCCAGCCGTCCAGCTCCCTTGCTCTCATAACTGGGGTGGGATATCCCACCTGTTTACACAGAAGAAACTGTGGCTCATAGAAGCTTGGCAGGGTCTTCCTGGCCCCAATCCTGAGCCTTCCTCTCCCCAGCTGGGTGACTCTGGCGGCAACTGCCTGGCACCCTCCGGCTTCCGTGTACCCATCTGTGAAGGGGTACACGGCACTCCCCTAACCCGGTCGCCCTGAGGGCAACGTGATAACCAGCTCGTACTTGCCTTATGGGCTGTGGGGGCGGCGAGCCCCCTGGCCCAAACCCCCGGACTTGACCTTGGACATAGTAACCCAGTGGGGGCACTGCCCTCCCTGGCTTCGGTTTCCTCGTCGGTGGAGAGCTGTCTCGAATGCCGGAGACCCTAGGGGGCGCGGGCCGGGGTCCCTGGGTTCCGATCCCATTTCTCAGGGGGCACAAACTGAGACGGGAGGCCCCCCGCAACCGTGCAAGGCCACCGCCCACCCGAGCTAGCCCACCTGAGATGGCCCGATGAAATCATCTAGGTCCGTCAGCTGCAGCGCTCCGCTGAAGGGCGACGCCATTGCGGCCCCACTGCCGCCGGGCGCTGTGCTCAGAGGTCGCCAAACGGCGCGCAATGACGTGATTGTTCCGCCACGCTGCCGGAAAGCGCTCCGTGCGGCGCATGCGTGCCTGGCCTTGCGGCCGTGTGCCTGGAGGGCGCGCCCCCCCTGCTGGCGGGCCCATTCCCGCGGAAGAGCGGCGATCCTTCTGACACGTTGCACCTTCCTGGCCTCCCGGGCGCGGGGCTCTGGGGCTGCGTGGACACGAGTGACAGCTCTCTCACTAACCAAGTGCTCACCTGTCGTCCAGGTGTGCGGCCTTGGGGTTCCCGCCCCTGGAGCTCACAGTAGCAGCAGCCTTACTTTTTTCTGTTCCAGACGCAGACCAAGAACCCAGTACAGCGCCTGGCACACAAAGGCAACAGTTTCTGTTGAAGAGTGAAGAAAATGAAAGAGACAGAGTTAGGGAGCAGTTCCTCACAACCCCGTGGCTCAGTGCAGAGCCTTAGGTTCTGGGTGGAAGCCCACGGAGCTCCTTTCACGGTCTCCCACACCCTCTTTTATTTCGGAGACAAGCCTCAGAAAACTCCATTTTCCTATAAGATTTTAAAATCTGAAACAGGACTGATGCTGTCAGACTCAACTCTTGAGCCATGTATAAAACGTGACAAATCCAGATATACATTAAATTACCACTTTTTCTTGGGGCTTTTCAGAAAACTCTAGTGGTCGAGTCTGGCCCATCCCTGGGCCCAGCTCTGTAGGTGCCCCGATAGGCTCAGCCCCAATTTATGCAGTAATCTCACATTTTTGAGGGCACAGCCACGCCTGAGAGCCTTCTTGGGGTTTCCGGACATTGACTCCCACACATGCATGAGGGTTTGCTGCATGGTCCAGGGACCCGAGACCACCCTCTGGTGCGACCTACTCAAGCCCCTGTAGCTGCACCTCTTGGCTCCAAGGACAGGATCGTCTTTCCCAGAAGCTGCCCCAGGTAGGCCTCCAGGGCATGATGGTCTGAGATGTGATGCCTGAAATCTAAACAATCCCACTAATTATAACCAGACAAGCACAAGATAAACAGTTTCGCTGAAATGCCTCAGAGTAGGTTTGCAAAAAATGTGTGAGAGTAACAAGTGCTGTTGGGATTGGGGGCAGGATAAGGGTCGGTTAGGCTGGGGTGAAGGAGAGGGTTTATAGTGGAGGGGGCTTTGGCTGAGGCTGGGGGGCAAAGGATGGTCCCCATTTGGGGAGACAGGGGAGGGTTCTCCCAATGCTGGAAGGGGGGTGTTTGCCATGTAGATATGCAGGATGAGTTTCAATCTTTAAATGGGAAAATTGTATGATAGGTGAACTGATATCTTAGTAAAACTATTTACAAAATGAGGGGGCTAGAGGCTGCCCCTCAACCTGGCTGCCCCAAGGTGGCCCCAGGAGGCCAGCCAGTAAGTACACCCTGGTCGGCCCAGGTTCGAACCGTTGGTTCTGAAGTCCCTGGAGGCCTGCCTGGGTGACTTATGTTCCCTAGAGACCTTCAAGCTCTAGTGCCAACATGACACCTCACCTCCGGTGTGCCTGCTCTCACATTTTGCAAATTATTTCATCATCATCATTAGCGAGTATTTACTGTGCGCTTCCCGTGTGCAATACCAGAGTTTGCACATGTGTGTGTGTGTGTGGGGGGGCAACTCGAGGGTCAACTGAGGACATGTGGAGGGGCCATGGCTCCTATGGCCAGGCTGGCTAGCCTGGGCAGCTGCTGTGATGTCGTGACTGTGTGTGTGGCACCCCTCTCCCTGAGCTGGCATAGGTACAAAACTCAGCATTTGCCCTAGATGTGCCCACAGGACCCCCTTTGCCCAAAGCCGATCGATCACCTGATCATTTGGTGGGAGCAGGCGTGGTGGTTTCCACGGAGTGTGTAGAGTTGCCTGTCGCCGCCCATAGGTTGGTGTCAGTTTCAGCCTCTGAAGGATTGACCCTGCATTAGTGTCTTGTGGCTGCTCTAACAAAGGACTACAAACTGGGGGGTTTAAAACAACAGAAATTAATTCTCTCAGTTTTGGAGGCCTGAAATTTGAAATCAAGGTGGAGACAGGCTTGTATCCCCTGCAAAGGCCCCAGGGGAGGATCCTTCTGCCGTGTACAGCTTCTGGGGACGTCAGGTGGTCCTAGGCTTGGGGCAGCGTCTCTCCAGCCTCTGCCTCCATGGTTCCTGTGTGTCTTCTCCCATCTCTTCTCTTGTAAGGACACTTGTCATTGGATTTAGGGCCCACTCTAATCCAAGATGAGCTCAACTAGAGATCCTTAATGACATCTGCAAAAACGTTTTCCAAATAAGGTCCCATTCACAGGTTCTAGTTGGACATATCATTTAGGATGGGGGGTACCACCATTCAGCCCACCACAGCCACATATCCAGGCTTTTGTGGGATCCTCAGGGGTTGGAGGGCAGCTGCATGATGGGATTCTTCTCACCAGGTCGTAGCCCGCCTACCACTTGGGATGAGCCTGCCCTTGGGGGACGGGTGGGATGGAGGGGACACAGTCCAGGCTGAGAGCCTCATGGGCTGTGCTGCAGAGCTGGGCCTGGGCCACAGGTGTCTTTGCAGGGCAGTCAGCCTGTGTGCATCGGGACTAAAACAACCCAGCGTGGGAACAAAGAAAAGGTATTTTGCCTTTTCCAAAATAGTTTTTTCCGAAACCTGTGATTTCAAAATGGTTATTGCATTCTCCAATGTTACTGTGTGGTGGGTCAAGGCCCCTAAAGAAGTTGGACAGAAGTGGGATTCCTCTCTGTTCATCACTGCAGGGTGGGGAGGGGCGGCCAGGGACCATGGGGGAGCGGGCTTCCTGCTGCTGCCCCCCAGAACTGCAGGATCACCTCCTGAGAGCTGCCCATATTAAGTTTGGGGGCCCAGGACCTGCCAGGTGGGAGGAGTGGGGAGGGGGCTGGATCCACAAGCCCCTGCCTGGTCATGGAACAAAGAACAGGTTTCCCAGGGGCCTGGCTCATCTGCGTACAACCAAGTGGCTCTCACCTTCCAAACCCGCCCCCATGTTCTTTATAAACCAGGGACTATTTAGTTTGTTATTGTGGGTGTCCAACTAGGGGTCTTCTTACAATGTGAGGGTGGCCAACTAGGGGTCTTCTTACAATGTGGGAGTCTTCATGCTCAGGAGGTTCTGGGTAGATCAGCACCGATCCCTGCCAGTCATGGGTGCCCCTCCCTGTCTGGGTGGACAGCCCCCAAGCCTGTCCCTGCAGACCCTTCCACACCTCTCCGAGGATTCTCCAGGCCCTGCATGCTGGGGTGCAGGGGAAGGGGTGTGTGAGTCCTGGTGCCTTCACTCAGAATTTGACAGAGAAAGCAGTCTTCTGTAAGAAAACATAGTCACTGGTGGCTATTTGGTCCCAAGCCCCGCGGGGCATACTGGGCTTGATGAAGCAAGACTTGCCTCCCTGGGTCGGGGTTTCATTTGTTGAAGGGAATTACTGAGAGCAATGAGCACATCATTAGCGCCATAATCAACATGCGGCACCTTCCCAGTGGGGCCGCCACGTCTTGTCAACAGGTGTGATCTGGCAGCAGCCCTGGGAGGCCCAGCACAGGGCACAATTAGCGGCTAATGAGGAGGCCTGCTGTGACCGCTTCTCCACAGGCACCAGGCCAGGGGCTGGGAGAGGAGGAGAGTCAGAAAGAGCTCTGGCGATCCTCCAGGGGTCCTCCCTCTGCAGCAAAAAGAGCTGCTCATGGAGAGGGCCTCACCATGCAATAGGAACACTCGAGATCCTTGGAAGGACAGGTGCGCTGCATACCTGTCCACAGGTGTACAAGGTTGGCCCTGCCTCAGTCCCTAGAGGCTCAAGCAGGCCACAACTGTGGGGACAGTGGACCAAGCAGCACCAGCGGGCAGGCTGAGCGGAGAAGCCGCCTCCTTTGTCTGACCGTGTGCTGCTGGAGGGAGAGAGCCAGGAGGGCATGGGGGCACAGCAGTTCCACCCTCCATCTCAGGGCCTCCAGGCTGTAGGCCTGGGACTGCCAGGCTGCCTGGTCTATCTTGGGAGAGCGGGCATGAGGCTGGTCAGGGCCAAGCGCCAGTCACAAAGCAGCAGACTTGTGGAGGGCGCCTCTCTCCAGGGGCCTTGCTAATCTGCCTGTCTGGGGTGCATGGCAGCAGGTTTGTAACTCTAGCCTGCCGTGTTAGAGCATTATGGTCACAGCCACAGCATTAGAGCACCATGGCCTGGCTTGCCAGCAGCCCCTGAAGTGCCTCTGCACTCATAATTTGTACTCAGCCCCTCAAGTCATCAAGGGGGCCATCTGGGCATCTGGGGAAGCATGTACCTTGTGACATAGTGATGGGTGGCTGGGTGGGACGGGGGTCCCCATGGGAGCCCCCAGCTCCAGGGCCTTCACCCAGGCCCGGGGACCAGGGAGCCACTCAGCCACTGGCAGCCCGGCTGGTTTTCTCTGCATATTTTTACTGGTTTGTGAAGGTCAGGCCTGGCCAGCTGCCCGTGAGAGGGTCACCCCGGAAACTGTGCATTTGGGGCCCCAGCAGCACAGCCTGGGGAGCTTCCAGCTTGTGAGACTGTGGGCCCTCTCCCAGAGACCCCACCCCAGGCTCCCTGCCTCCATCCCTGACAGTCTCCTTTGGGGCTGGCCCCCAACTCACCCAAGTCAGCCTCAGCATCTGGGAGTAGGCTGGGGGTCCCCTGCACCCAGCAGAAGAGGGGGGTCTTTCTCATGCTGGGGGGTCTGGGAATTGTAGAGGAGGGAGCCCACTGCTTTGGTGTGGGAGGGGGGCGGAAGGGGGCAGAAAGTCACGCTGCACTCTGTGTGTCTTGTAGGTCAGGAAGTTTTTGCAGCCCCTCACTCTGAGATCAGAGCACGTGGGTGGGGTCATCACACAGGCATCCCAGGCCCTGCACCAGAGCCCACCCC